CGATTCCGGTCAAGGACATGTACCCTGGTTGCAGGCACATCCCAGGGATGTGTACAGGAAGCAGCTGATTGATGCTTCTCTTTCATTGATGTTTCTGGCTTTCTATCTCTCTCTCTTCCTCTCTGTAAAAAATCAATAAAAATATATATTTTTTAAATATGAAAAATAAAATTCCATTGGAGTATATGATTTTCTTTCTTCAAACTCAAAAAAATACATTAAAATGAGGTATTAATAAAAACTGAGTCAAACACATTAGTAAATACAGGATGAAAGTAAAATGGAAATCAGAAAAGGTTTCATGTTAGTGCAGAGCCCGAGATAAATCATGTCATTTCAGCGTTACCACCAATACTCTGTCTGGAAAGCTAACAGAGTTAAAGTCCTTTGCACTGTGCCAGCACTTACACTTTATTTTAGCTTCGGAATCTTCATCTCAAAAGTGAGGAGTTTGGATGAGATAATCTCCATGATCTCTTCCTGGTTGAGGTTTCTGGGATATAGTCAGTACCATAACATCTTGCTTTGTAAGGTTTTCCATTCCAGGAATAGGGCTGGGCTCTGTGGGGTTACCCACAGGCATATGACCTGGTTTTCCTCCATAGGAGGAGTTTTGTTGCTCACCTGTGCCAGGTGAAACTCCTGGAGACCGGAATCCTCAGCTGCTGTGGTTGGCGCCTGAAGTTAGCTCCCTTTAACCCTGTAATTAACTATAGCTGACTCATGGTTAGTAGACACTGTTAGAACTTTACAACTGTAAGAATGTTTATAAAAGAGTACCTGGGGCTCATAGAAGGATTAAGAATATGAAGTGAAATTTATTTGTCTTTTTATTAAAAAGCTCTTTTTGCTTTGACAGTTGTATTATATGTCTTGAAGAGGATCTTTTTTATTTGAGTTTCTTTAGTGACCTATGAGTTTCATGGACTTGGATGCCCAAATATCTTTCCAGATTTGGGAAGTTCTCAGCATTATTTCTTTTTTTTAAATTTCTTTATTTATTAAGGTATTACATATGTGTCCTTATTCCCCCATTACCTCACCATTCCCCCTACTCATGATCTCAGCATTATTTCTTTAAATAAGCTTTCTGTTCATTTTTTCCTCTCTTTTCTTTCTAGAACTCTAATAATTTTTAAGTTTATTGTTTTGATGTATCCCATATAGATCACATAGATTTTTTTTTTTCACTCTTTTTCTCCTCTTATTGCATAATGTCAAATAATCTGTCTTCAAGGTTCCCAATTCCTTTTTCTGGTTGGTCAAGTCTACTGTTGAAGCTCTCTATTGAATCCTTTAGTTAGTTCAATGGTTGGCAAACTCATTAGTCAACAGAGCCAAATATCAAAAGTACAATGATTGAAATTTCTTTTGAGAGCCAAATGTTTTAAACCTAACCTATATAGGGGTACTTAATAAGGGTACTCTTAAGCTGGCCTTTGCTAAAAACTCAAGGGGCCAAAGTGTCGCATGAGGCTCTTGAGCCGCTGTTTGCCGACCACTGCTTTAGTTCAATCACTAAGTCCTTCACCTCCAAAATTTCTATTTGGTTCTTATTTTATGTTTACTGTCACATTGTTTTTCTGATGTTGTTAAAGTGTTTATCTGTGTAGCGTGTAGCTCTCTGAGAATCATCAAAACAAGTAGTTGGAATTTTTTTTGTTGAGTAATTCCTGGAAATCAATTTCTTTCAAGCAAGCTACTGGAAGTTTACTGTATTCTTTTGGCAGATTCATGTTTCTCTAATTCTCCATGATTTCAGTAGCCTTGTATAGGTGTCTGCAACATTTGAAGAAGGAGCTACCTCTTCAGACTTTAAGAACTGACTTCAGTATGGAAGGACTATTATGTGTGGGTGGGGACATATTTCAGCACATGAGAACCAAGTCTAGTGGTGTAGGGCTCAAGTGTGTGGTGGCAAGGGGGTCAGGAGGACATGCTGTCTCTGGGCTGAGGCTAATAGTCCACAACATTAACAACCACGTGGTTCCTGGGAAGCAGAGCCAGGAGTCTGCAATGGATTCAGGGCTGTTGGGGTCTTCAGTGGCATCTCCAGGTCCAGCGACTATGTTCCACAGAAGCGGCCGTTGTGGCCAAAGATAATTCTGTATGCACGCTTGCCTGCAGGGGCCAGCTTCAGGTGCCTGTGTCGTGGCAGAGGCCTTTTGCAGACCCACAGGGAGGGCAGCCTGGCTGCAGCTAACTGCAGGCACATGAGTAGCTGCAGGGGTCCTGATTGGCCGTGTACACATACTACTCAGGCTGCTGTATTTCACTAGGTGCACTGCAGTGTCAGGGGTTGGGCTGGGGAGATGCACCGCTGGAATGACTAGCTAGAGGTAAGCACAGTGGTGCGGGCCAGTGACAGAAGACAGGGCCTGAGTTGAGCCTATAAGCAGCTGTGGGGCCTAGACTGTCGCTGTGCTCTCCCATGGCTACACAGTCTCCCCCCAGCGACGGACACAGCAGTGAGGCCTGTGACTGGCATCAGGCCTGCAGAGTGTCACGTGCGCACGAGGCTGGGCATCCGCTGTGAAGGTCCGACTGGTATCTTGCACTCCCACAGCCACAGTGGCACGGGCTGGCTGCTGGTGCAATCACCAGGCTCCAGTGGGAGCAGGGATTTGAGGGAGTGAGGAGGCACTCGGGTGGCTTGAGTAGTTGAGGAGCAAACACTGGTGAAATCTGTAGGTGGTCCTCTGAGCCGCGTTGCTCAATGATTCCTTCTTCAGAGGCAAAAACCACTGGATTTACCTGCAGAACAGATCGATGCGAGCCGTGATGATTAAGCTGCATGGTACCCAGTGCTTTTCTTTGTGTTCTTAGCCATCTCTACATGCCTCGGCTTTGCAGTCTGGGTGGGGCAAGACCTAAGCCTGATCTTCCAGCGATGCCTGGAAGGGCTGGGGAAGCTGACTGCTCACCCTGCTCATCTTTTCCTGGCAAGGGAAACGTTTTCTAGCTGGGGAATTCCCTTGGGCGCTACACAATGCCTCCGTGGGAGATGGGATGATTCAGGCAAAATTAAACTGTCTTCCTCCTCTGTGTTTACAATTATTCTGTTTTTTTGTTGTTGCTCTGCTGAGTGGCTGAAGTTTCTTCGGTGGACGCCCTTGCTCTTCCAGAGCTGTTTTCCTTCATGAGGAGCTGGCTAACGGGTGACCTTTCCCTTAGTGGTGTTCTCCCTCTGTGCACAATGATGTCGGATTCTCCTTTTTGTTGTTAATCTGCCATGTTTTTGTTTTGTTTGTGCTTTGCCTTGAGGTACATTATGGACATTTAAAATTTTTTATAATATATATTTTATTGATTTCAGAGAGGAGAGAAGGTGAGAGAGATAGAGACATCAATGATGAGAGAAAATCATTGATCAGCTGCCTCCTGCACACCCCCTACTGGGGGTTGAGCCCACAACCCCAGCACATGCCCTGACCAGGAATCAAACTGTGACCTCCTGGTTCATGGGTCGATGCTCAACCACTGACCCACACCAGCCAGGCATATTATGGACATTTAAAAACTCATCCTGTGTGGTAAGTGTGAAAGCAATGAGGAGGAAGCCTCATTTGAAGCCGGGGTAAATAGGAAAAAAATAATTTTTAAAAATTGAAACTGGTGGGGGGAAATGATGAGTGTTGCATTTGATTTGAGGAAGAAACCATTGGATGGTAGGGCCCATTTTGGAGGGAAAAGAGAGACTTTAACAAAATTTCAAAAATGCTCTCATGGTCCTAGCTGGTTTGGCTTAGTGAATAGAGCATTAGCCTGCAGAACCTTCCAGGTTCAATTCCAGTAGAAGGCACATGCGCAGATTATGGGCTCTATCCCCAGAAGGGGGTGTGCAGGAGGCAGCCCATCAATGATTCTCTCTCATCATTAATGTTTCTCTCTCTCTCTCTCTCTCACTATCCCTTCCTCTCTAAAATCATTAAAAATATATATTTTTAAGTGCTCTCACGAGGCTATGACTAAAATCAGCTACAGAAGTGACAATCTAGAAACATGTTAGTCTTGTTTGTAGCACTGATATCAAAGCCTACAATATCACATTTGGGTGATATTGACAATTAGTAAGAAAGCTTAGGGGGTTATTGAAGAAGTTAAGGACTGAATAGATAATAATGTACAAATAATTTATTACAAAGTAGAGATGCTTCCAAAGTTCAAAAGCTTTTTGAAATTACTATATATATATATATATATATATATACATATATATATATAGTAATTTTGAGATATATATATATATATATATATATATCTCAAAGTGAGTGACTTAAATAATAAATGTTCTGAAAGGGTTCCCTAAAACATTTTTTAATATCATCATGGGCAGCTACCTATTACAGCAGATTTTCTATATAGATAAATTGACATATTTGGGTACCAGCTGCCCAAATACGTCAATTAGTAAGGCATCCAAAGAAGTGAATTAGACACTTATTTGGTAAAATATATTTGAAAACTTAACATTTTAATCCCACATGAATTACTTTGCATTTAATAATAAATAATGGACTCATAAAAGTGCTTGTAGATATGTTTTAAATAGAGAAGCTTCTCAATTTAAAATAGATTTCTGTCATGTGAGTATGGTGAATAAGTTTTTAAAATGAATATTAGAACATGTGTGGCTTTAATATTGGCTAAATAAGCCGAAACCGGTTTGGCTCAGTGGATAGACCGTCGGTCTGTGGACTGAAAGGTCCCGGGTTTGATTCCAGTCAAGGACATGTACCTTGGTTGCAGGCACATCCCCAGTAGGGGGTGTGCAAGAGACAGCTGATGGATGATTCTCTCTAGTCAATGTTTCTAACTCTCTGTCCCTCTCTTCCTCTCTGTAAAAAATCAATAAAATATATATTTTTAAAAATGTTTGCTAAATAAAGCAATAAAACTGGGTACTTTTTAATTGAATATGCACACTTCACAGCATTTTTATAGTACTTTGTAAAATTTTTGTTACATATTTTAACTTGTAAAAATATTTTCCACCACTGTTTACTATTTTCATACTTTATTAAACCATAAAAGTCTAAAGCAAAAGAGTATCTGGGAGCTCATTTACATCTCTATTTTACAAAGCACAGAACCTTGATAATCTCACATGCCCTTAATTACAATATCCTCCAATCAAATATTTAATGTAGGAATTTCATTGTTAAGAGATCATATTTGTATAATCACACTGCATTCTATATTATCTAAAAGTAAAGAAAGAAAACAGCAGCTCTTATTAAACATCTAGTTACTTAGAACAGCTTCTACAAAAGTTTAACATTTTTAGCTGTTAATTTGTCTTTTTTTTTTTTTTTTTTTGAAAGCTCTTCTTACTTTTAAATCACAAAGCAAAGTTTAAATCATCTAAGGAAGCACATCTTAACCTACGGTGTTTCCCTGAAAATAAGACATCCTCCGAAAATAAGACCTAGCGCATGGAAAGATAAGGCATCCCCTGAAAATAAGACCTAGCACAACTTTGGGAGAAAAAATTAATATAAGACACTGTCTTATTTTCGGGGGAAACAGGATAGTAAATTGAATCTTCACAAGTACAATAGAAATGAATTGATTTAATACTATAGTGTGGGGAGGGAGAGAAACATACACTCTTATTTCCTTTTGTAGAGTTTTGAGGTTGGGGGTGGAATGGGAAGACTGCTTTACTTTAGTCTTTTCCAGATTGAAATCTTTCTATGCTTTTACTAAGTATCAAACATTTAGAATATAAGTAACATTGAGCAAGAGTCTGTGTTTCATGGCAAATTATAAGCCATGTACTCTCAAAGTTATAGTGCCAAGTATAAAACAATTTAAACATTCAAATTTTCTAAGTAGTGTTTATAGTGGTTTAGAGATTAAGCAGAATGTTAAATATGAAAAATAATATTGACAATATTAGTGAAAAGATGCCGATATAGAAAATACATCACTGCCCTAACTAGTTTGGCTCCGTGGATAGAGCATCGGCCTGCAGACTGAAGGGACCTAGGTTCAATTCCAGTCAAGTACATGTACCTTGGTTGCAGGAACATCCCCAGTAGGGAGAGTGCAGGAGGCAACTGATCAATGATTCTAACTCTCTATCCTTCTCCCATCCTCTCTGTAAAAAAAAAAAAAAAAAAAAAAAAAAAAAAAAGAAAGAAAGAAAGAAAGAAAGAAAGAAAGAAAGAAAGAAAATCCATCACCTGTTACATTCTAAGTGTGCTTTTGATTTCAAATCTTTTAAACCCCCTTAGCCCTCTCATTTTCTGTTTAAATTTTATCTATTTAAGTCCAAATGTTCCCCCTTTTCAACTCTAAGCCCTTCTCTGAAGTCCTCCTTAATTATTCCTATCTTTACTGACCAACCCCTTTTTTCTGCACTCCCCATAGGAGGAACACTTCTGTAATGATCAGTAGGTACTTAATAATCCATGCTCACTAGCCACTTTGATTGGACATTTCTTTCTTTCCCTACTGGAATACAAATGCTGACAATAGACTGGGAAATAATCAATAACAGATGGCAAACACTGGCTTAAGACCCAGCATGTAGGGAGTGAAGTAGAGCAGGTCCACTTGGAGGCCTCTTCAGCAGCTGGAATCTTCATGAGCGATAACCAAGGTGGTTGTACAGAAAGGGGTGAAGAGAAAACTCTGGGTCCCTAGCTGGATGAGTCAACCAGGCTCAGTGGAAGTTTTTCTTTTCCAATCATTTGAACATTGGCGGTCCCAAGACTGAGTCATCACCATGTGGGAATTCCAGCAAATGACTGAGCAAGAGGGGCAGGACCTCGGGAAGACAGATGCTGTGGAATCTCTTGGCAGAGAAGACAGGGCAGCTTAGACATGTCTCTTTCAGAGTAAGAGTGCTGGCCTGGTTGAAGGAGGGCTGAGGGCTCAAAAATGTCCTTCGCCATAATCCTCAATTACAACTTCGTGATCCGAGTTGTCATTATCTTCAATTTCGACTTTGTGATCCGTGGTGGTTTCAGTTGGCTGCATGGTAGATGCAGGCACCGTGGCAGGTGGTGGGGTGCTCTGAGATTCAGGCTGCTTCGATGAGGCAGAAGATGTGGTAGGAGATGGGGTAGAACCAGGGGTGGGGGCAGGAGAAGGAGTAGCACTAGTGGTGGGGGCAGGAGAAGGAGTAGCACTAGTGGTGGGGGCAGGAGAAGGAGTAGCACTAGTGGTGGGGGCAGGAGAAGGAGTAGCACTAGTGGTGGGGGCAGGAGAAGGAGTAGCACTAGTGGTGGGGGCAGGAGAAGGAGTAGCACTAGTGGTGGGGGCAGGAGAGGGAGTAGCATTAGTGGTGGGCGCAGGAGATGAGGTAGAACCAGGATCACAGATCACATGACTGGACTTTCCATCTGTGTGAATGACGATGGTTGTACTCGTGGTGTGCTTGCCAAAGTGAACAAAATATAAGACCAGAACAACGAGGGTTGTAGCAATCAGACAGGCCAGCAGACACACCAGAAATGTTTTCCAGAGTGACCATGGTTTTGCTATAACCTGCAAAGGATTACAGTAAGTGGATATTTCAGCAAATTACATAGGAGCAGCTTAGGTAAGTGATTGCAATCAGAATAAGGCTAACCTTTTCCACATTATATAATTTAAAGCACAACGTATCAACCTTCACTCTATCTCTCTTTCAAGTAAGCACAAAAACACCCACATACACACACACTCCTTGTCCACTAGCCCATGAGAACAAAATATTCCTTCTTAGTTGCCCTTTCACAGTAAAGCAATACGGTGTCATCTCAAATGTAAGTAGATTGCCTCAGGAATATATGACATTAAGTGATTATCTGCTATTAACATTGCAGTATAAATTAAGTTATCGAATTAGTCCTCATGGGTAGAAAAGTAATGTATAGGCATATTAAAACATTTAGATTTGGTTATGTTTGGATGAGAAAAATTTACAAGTATTCTTTTTTTTCCCATCATTATTTCCTATTTTCGCATTATCTGAAAGTTTATAATTAGAGAATTACTTATTAAATACATTTCATCTGTTAAACATAAATGAAAGAAATTTCATTGAGCCTAGAAAGACATTAAAATGGGAAATCTCTAGTATGGAGGGGATCTTAAAGGAACAGACTACAGCACTGATAAAAGGTTGGGGGCTGCGGGTTCTAGGTTTTGCCCAGAGATTGTGGAGGGAAGCTCTGAAGAAGGGTTGAAGAGCCAAAAGACAGCAGCAAATGAAGAATTAAAGGAGAGGAGAGCCCTGCAGAGGGGGTCTGAGTCAGGGCCTGCCTGTCCCATTTTTCCATTTTTCCATTGTGCTAACAGACTACTGAAAACTTCCCACGTACCCCAGTTTTCAAACCTTACCCATTGCGGCTGGAAGGTCGCAGGAGACGATCTACAGCAACAGTGTGTTCTGCAATTTGAACAGTATGGATTTCTGGGTAACTGCAGAGAAAGAATTTTAAACAGATAACCAACCCTGATTTTTAAGGGTAAAGAAAGTTTATTTGAACCAGAAACATAGACATATAAAATATATTTAAAAATTATGTGACTCTTACATGTATCAAATGAAGAACTAACCAATCTAGGAGAATCTGAAACTCTAGAAATGATTTAATGACATAAGGTATAAAAATACATTTTTCATATCAAATGATCAAAGAAGAAAAATAAATGATCATTTCAGTAGATGGCCAAGGGTCATTTAACAAATTTCAGTAGTCAGTTGTGACACAAGCAGACAAACTATATAAATCTCAAAGAAATAAAAATAAAAGAATAATTTCTAATTGTGGTGAGGAATATTGACCTCATACCAATGACCAACATCATGTATAACAGTGTAATGCCAGGCACCTTCCTTTAAGCCAGGAATGAAGAATATCTCCTACCACCAATATTAGGGTATTTTTTTCCATTATTAAGACTGCAAATCATTTTTTATTTTTCAATTACAGTTCACATGCAATATTATATTAGTTTCAGGTGTATACCACAGTGATTAGACATTTTGTAACTTCCTAAGTGATCATCCAGATAAGTCTTGCGCCCATCTGACACCATACATAGTTATTAAAATATTATTGGCTCTATTCCGTATGCTATGCTTTAAATTCTTATGCTGTAACTATCAATTTGTACTTCTTAATCACTTCACCTCTTTCACCTAGGTCCCAATCCCCTTCCCATATGGCAAACATCAAAATGTTCTCTGCATCTATGGGTCTGCTTCTGTTCTGTTTGTCCATTTATTTTGTTTTATTAGACGTTCTCATCCACATGTAGCAATAATGAAAAATGTGAAGATAAAACTAGCATTATTTCCACATAATATAATTGTGTACAAACAGGATCCCATATATCAAAATATATGTAACAGTCCTTGTTGTTTGTGTGTGTGTGTGTGTGTGTGTGTGTGTGTGTGTGTTAGCAACTACAATAGTAATAAAACATGAAATGGTTAAGCATATAAAATACCATAGGGCTTATATAAAGAATACCATGGAACTTTACAGAGGAACAAAAATACAGCTTAAATAAATGTCCTCTTATAGAAGGTTTCAGTAGCATAAGCTCTCAATTCTCTAAATTTTAATTAAGAGCTTTATGAAAATTTTACAAGAAAAAAAATAGACAGAAATTTAATGTGGGAAAATAAATAAACCAACAATCAAATTACATTTGATTGGGGTGAGAGGAGACAGAAAGCAAAATATTAGCAGTGGTTTTCCTCTGGGATGAATCATGAGTGACTCTTTTTTCTTTGTAATTTTTCAAATGTTCTAAAATCATAGAATAATTGTAAAAAAAAAAAAAAGTCTTCTGCTCCTTGTTTTGGGGGAATGTAAGAGATTGTCATTAGGTTACTTAAAAATGGGAAATTCTAACTATTTCATAGTCTCAGAAGTTGATTTTACTGTTCGTGTTTTTTAGCATAATTAACTAATTATCTAGCTTAATGGAATAAATTGTATAAGTGTTTTGGCATATGGGAACATAACTATAACTCATTTAATATATTATGAAAAGGAGATAGAAACAAAATGATGTACACTAAATACATAAAGAAATACTAAAGCAGTGACATTTTTCAGCTTCCTTCACACATAAGGCATGCTAACCATTAATGCTAAGGTGGTACCGTTAGTGAATCCCCAGATACAGCCTTCAAGTTGAAAAGCAATTCGATGTCAAATCCTAGCTTTGTATTTATTTTGTTTCACTTGTGGCTTGGCTCTGTAACCTCAAGTTAATTATAAAATTTATTTTTCTTTGTTGGAACATAGTAGTTCGGTCTATTTGAAAAGTAGCCTATTACAATGAGTAGATTATATGTGAGAAATTTGAGTTTGATTTCTGGTTCTGCCCTTGGCTAGCTGGACTTCTAATGTTTCACTTTCCTCATTTGTAAAATGAAGGGATTTGTTTGAATGGTGAATAAGACCCTTTATATAATATGTTCTAAGAAATAAAATTTTTACATTACTAGAATATTAAGCATACATTCTTCTGCCATAAGACATTTTTCATAAATTACCACTTTAAGTACAAGTAGGTCAATGAGAATAGAAATTTTCATTGGATTAAAATATTAAGAAATATAAATCATGTTGTTAATATTTGCTATAAATATATTTCAAACCATCTACTTAAATTTTGTCTTCTGGTGTCTTCTGATATTAATATCAAAATTTAAGCAAAAAGTCTAATGCAAAATTCCCAAGTGATGTGAGAGTACTATTTGGCATACTGAATAACTCTCTCAACACTTGTGATCAGTGATAATAAAATCTCAGATTCTATTCTTCCTGTAATAGCAAACATCAGAGATATGCAACTTAATTTTCTTGAAGGATTAAATGTTAAAGGTCAAAAGCAAGAATATTAGACATGAAAGATTAAAGACTATTTGCAATACTCACCAGCTCAGTTGCATTTTGTTCAGTATCCCCAGAATACTGTCCTTGTTTTTCATCCATCCTGAGAGTGCTGGTATCCCAGATGCAATGCTAACGATGTCTGTACTCTCTGGGTTAGAAGTTAGGGAACACTGGATTTATGTTAAATAACTGTGTATTTATTCAGTCTGGATTATGTAAACTAATAGACATCTATTTCCTAAAAACAAAAAAAAACAAAAAACAAATCCAAATTTCAATCCCAAAGTACAAATTGATACTAGTTGGAGAAAAATAAACAGAAAAAAAATTGCTCCCTTTAGAAATGACACGTAGAATGTTATCTCAACTGTAAGAATGACTGAGCAGATATAAACCCTTACCCTCCTTATTTCACAAAACTTATTTGAAATCCCATAAATTTGATTTCTAACAGGTTAGGAATTCAGTTTTGCTTCTAAGGAAAAGCTCTCAAAGCCACTCCTTAATTATAAAGATTGCAGAATTCTGTGGCTAAGCAGAGGGATTATGATGATGACTAATTTTAAAACTTTCCAAAAAAAAAAAAAAAGACAATATTGATATTACTGGGTCGTGGTAATTTTGAATAAATGGTGACTAAAACCTACTGCACTATTTATAAGTCAGTGACTACATTGAGATGGACAGAGAAAAACACATTACAATGGCTTTATCTACAGTTAAAAATAAAAATAAGGGATAAGTACACTTCGGTAGCTCTTGATTATGTACCTCAAGGATTATCCCCAGTAAACCTTGCTGCTTCTTAGCACATTGTATGTTGATTTAGATTAGGTGGTAATTGTCACTGTTGCTGATGACTCCTAATCTTTTAGATGAGCAGAACTGGAAAAGAATGTCTTTGGTTCTTTCCCATTTCTCACAGAGAGAAGTATACTGTATATGATACAGCATGCAATATTGTGGTGGTGTTTCTAATTAGCCTGAAGACGATGCTCTCTGACCCTTTGGCAAATGGCATGCAGTACAGACTAGACAAAAAAAAAATGACTTTAAAGTTCTTAGTTACTCATTTCCTATAAACAAACAACTTTGGTTGGGAGATGCTTAGTGACAGAAATTTCCAAAACCTCAATAGACTTACACACATCCTAATTTAAGAGCAGATATGTCTCCTTGTATGTAACAGGTATGTTCATGAAATTTATGTAAATAAATTCCAAATCTCTGTACTAATTGAGCAAACAATAAATATGCTTTAAGTCATTGTTAGTTGCTAAGTCAGTCCTTTTCTTCCTTCCTTCCTTCCTTCCTATTTTCATTCATTTATTCCTTCTTCCTTCCTTCCCTTCTCTTTCTTTCATTCCCTTGTGGCTAAAATAAATCCTGCCTCATTAATCCAGTGTCATCTGATGGTATCTGAGCCCATGCTTATGTAATGGTTGAATAACTTGAGATCTTCAAATTATAATTCTAAACTTCTCAGTGGTGGTCTAAATCTTAGAGTAGCAAATATCTGATAAAGTTAGCATCAGAGGTCTGGTTCCCCATCTTTTTTTTTCAATGTAGGCTACTACATTTTATTAGAAAGACATGCCCTCTATAAAGCAAAGGGAAAGTCAGAAAACAGTGACAATAGTCTTCAATGCCCTGGGAAAAAAAATTATTGGTGAGCTAGAAGTCTATGCTCAACAAAAATATCCACAAGTAAAAAGTTTAAATCAGATTATTTAAAGTTATCATCAACAGACACTAAAAGAAATGCAAAAGAGCACAAGGGAAGAAATCTCAGTTGGAAGGGTTGAGATGTAAAAAGGAAAGGTGACAAGATAAGAATATCCACTATGACACCTGCTATGCAATATTGTACAGAAATTCTTAAACAGGGCAGCAAAATAGTAATATGAAGAAGTTAGACTGTTCCTATTTGCATATGAATATAAACATAGAAATAAGAAGACAAGCAAACTATTAGAATGAGTCAGAGTTTAGCAAGATTAGTAGATGCAAAATCCATACAAAAATAATTTAAGAAATCAATTGTATTTTTGTATACCAACAATAATGTTCAGAAAACTAAAACTTAAAGAAATATTACTTGAAACTTTCAAGTATTTAGAAATAAACCTAACCATAGACATGTAATACTTTTACTGGAAATATTCTAAAACTTTATTAAGTCATTAAGGAGGATATTGAAGTTCCAAATAAATATACTGTTGGCAACAGTTTAAATTGGCAAGACCATTTAGAAAACACTTGACACTATCTAGTAAATTGAAAGATATTCATATACTGTGATCTAGTAATTCCACTTCTGGTATATTCCCAATGGAAATACACAGATGTATGCACATGTGTACACACACGCACACACACACACACACAAAATGTAATTGTTCGGAATCCTTAGAAAACCTGAAAAGAGTATGTTTCTGGGTTCTGTTGAAAATAACTCTGAAATGGAAAGTTTACCTATCGGTCAAAATTATGGTGCCAATTTTAAATCCCAGAAATGTCAGCTTTTCAAAGCAGTTGATAACAGTGCAGAGAAATTAAATTTGTTGTCCAGAGAGCATGGCTATTGGGATCATATGTGCTTCTTCTTGGTGACGAAAATCAGCTAAAAATCAAAAGAAAATATCAGTTTCCGCTTCTCTCCCATTGCTAGTTGACTTGCTTATGGATCCCCAAATAAGAAAATGTAGAATTCTAAGAAAGTTATCCAGAAGCTCAACAGAGTAAGAAAAAAAGTTGATAGACTAAAATATTAGAAGTTAAAAGACTCTAGCTAAATGAATTTTTATTATATTATGTATATGTACATATACAATAATATATAATAAATGTTAATGACAAATTTTACTATATATACAATGTATATGCATATAAGTGCACATATATGCAAAATAGTAACAATTCTGGCACTTCACTTATATATATATGACATTAATATGCAGTGGATGACACTGTCACTAACAATGTAACAAGACTGCCCTCTTTACTGCGTTTTCCTTGCTTTGACTATGTTTTTAGTCTTTGCTAACTGGGTCAAGAAAAACGTTGTGTGTGTGTTGTGTGTGTGTGTGTGTGTGTGTGTGTGTGTGTGTGTAGTTATGTCCTTTGTTTTCTACTAGGAAATTAAACAATGTAATAGCCATTTACATATTATTCGACATTCACTTTACAGAATATTCATATGTATATATCTGTATGTTTATGCATGCTCATGTTTATGTTTTATGTCATTAACTGTTGTGGTTCAGTGTTCTTTTTTCTAGTAAACATTTTATGTTAAAGATACTAATTACTTTCCTCGCCTATGTGTTGCAGTTATTTTTTCTGCAGTTTTTTTCCTGTTTTTTAAAGACATTTATCTTTATTTACAGAAGTTTTTAAAACTTAGAAGGTTAAGCTAATTATCTCTGATTTATATGTTCTCATTTTCAACAATTAACTTTTTAGTACATTTACAATTAATTTTGATTTCTTTTTTCCCAAATATTTAACCAATTTTTTCAGAACATTTAATATATATTTCTTTCTCTTTTAATTTGTAATATATGTTTTTACATTATAGATTATTTTTTCAAGTTCTTATAAACAACCTAACCTAATTTCAAACAAACAATTATTACAATTATTTAATTAAGAGCTTAGTACAGGTAAAGGAAGCTTGTTGAACATTCTTGTTATGACATACAGGGCATAAATATTTTGACAAATATGACATGAACATCCAAACTTTTATATTTGGTCTACATATATTGTATATTGTAATAAATTCATCTTTGGTTATACATCTAGTAGATGACTTCCTGCTGTCTATTCGCCACAATCATTTTCCTAATTCTCACCAACTAATATGGACAATTGACATTTGACACATGTCCTTTCTTTTGGCAACACCTTTTTCTGAAAATATTCCCTCCCTTTAATTACCTATGGATTTCTGCATTTTAATCCTGTGACTATAATTCTCTTTCTGAAGATATTGTAGTCCCAGCTAACCTCTGCTATGGCGCTGAACATGACCTATTGTAATTAAATATATTTTAATAGGGCAGAGACCAAGCCAATTTCTGAAATGTATTTCCTGAGTGGTTAGTACCCAACAGCATAATTTATAAGAACTTAATCAATACTGGGTGACTGACTGATAAATTACTGGTTACAAAGTTCCATAAATTCGTGATGTATGGTAATTATTGAAGAATTTCGTTTGGGACTACATGACGCCAAACAGACTTGGAGCACTTGAGTTAATTGGTACATCCAAGTATTAGGCGTCATTTTGTGGTCTGAGAATTCTATCTACTCTGCAAAACGTTTCATTACAATGAAGGTTTCCCAAGTTCTCATTTCAGCCAACTTTAACCTTTCAATCTTGTGTCCTTCTGGATGGCTATACTTCAGTATATCTCTTGCTTTGTCCTGATCAACAGAAAATAGAGATGGAGACCGAATCTGCTCTGAAATGAAGCCTAGAGCCTTTGTGATCATTGTTACAATGACCTGCTAAAACTACCCCTCTAGAGTGACTCAGGCAGCCCATGCTGACAGAATGGCAGGAGTTAGGAAAGTATTATAGAAGAGTGGTTACATTTGTTATCATTGTGAGATATTTCCTGACATTCATCAAAAAATATATAACAATAAAAATACACAGAATGGTAATACAGACACCTACCCTGTTTCCCTGAAAATAAGACAGTGTCTTATATTAATTTTTTTCTCCCAAAGTTGGGCTAGGTTTGATTTTCAGAGGATGTCTTATTTTCGGGGAAACAACGTACCTCTGTATCTACTGTTCATAATAATATATAGAAATCACTAATACAATTGAAGCCCCTTATATTGATACATTAATATCCTCTATCTCCAGATATAGCCAGAATTTTAAATTATGTAGTTATCATTCCCTTGTATTTCTTTAAAGATGGATTACATACTCCTGATTTTTAGAAACATAGGTGGTAAAGGTATTTAGCTGTATGCTTCTAGACTTGCATTTATTTATTTATTTTATTTCTATTTTGGTATTTCTACTTCAAACCATGCAGCTATAAGCATCTCATCCATGTCTCTGGAACTAAGAGATACACTAGTACAGTTGACCCTTGAACACCAAGGGTTGGAGGGGGCAAGGGCCTCAGGGCTAGGGGCACTGACCTACTGTGTACTCCAAAACCTAAGTATGGCTTTTCACTCCCCCAACTAAACTACTGATAGTCTACCATTGATTGGAAGCTTTATTGTAACATAAATAGTCAGTTAATACATATTTTATGTTATATGTATTATATACTGAATTTTACAGTGAAATAAGCTTGAGAAAGACAATGTTGTTCATTAAATAATAAAGGAGAGAAAATGCATTTATAGTATTTATTTTTACAAATCCACGTATAAGTGACTCAAGAGTTGGAACCT